TCCACCCGTGTCCGACAAAGTTCCTCGCATCATCAACCACCACCCACAAGACCACCACCATGCGCCCCATCCATCCTTCACCTCATCCCCACCGAGAGGATCCCGGAAATTGTCAGCGGCAGCTTTCACGTTGATGCGAAGGACCGGAGTCTGGCTCCTATGAATCAGTCTATATCCCGCATATCATCACACAGGATCCCTGCAGGCCCGAGCCTTCCCCGCTGTCTGGCTCCGGTCTGGCCAGCATAACACACGACCCAGGCCGGGATCCTCCATACGCTCATCCGTGCGCCATGCCCGGTGAGAAGATGCTCACCCCCAGCGGGTTTGAGCCTTCACCACCCCGCATGCCGCAGCACACGAGCCAGCACATTAGCTCCTCTGCGGGCATGTACAAATTCAAACGGCCTCCACCACCACCCGCACGGCGTCCCACCTTGGCCGCGCAGGGGCACGGCCAGGGGCTGGGGAACAGCCGGGAGCAGGCCTCCGGGCCGGGGCAGCAGGGGGGCGGCGGTGGAGGGGGTGGTGTTTCTGGGGGCCAGATGGAGGAGGTGAATACCAAAGAGGTGGCGCAGAGGATCACCACGGAGCTGAAGCGCTACAGCATCCCTCAGGCCATCTTTGCCCAGCGGGTCCTGTGCAGGTCCCAGGGGACCCTGTCCGACCTGCTGAGAAACCCCAAACCCTGGTCCAAGCTCAAGTCCGGCAGAGAGACCTTCCGCCGCATGTGGAAATGGCTGCAGGAGCCTGAGTTCCAACGCATGAGTGCGCTCAGGCTCGCAGGTGAGCGAAGCCTCGGTAAAGCCCCTTTTTGTTTTCATCCTCTGAATGTGTTGCTGAGAAAAACAGACGCTCAGACAGGATCGTTAGCCCTGAATGCTACCTTATGGGTCAGGTTGGTTGGGAACCAAAACTGATTTTGGAGTTTTGATTATAACAGAGAGAAAAAAAAAACTAAACCTTTTCCAGCATTTCCAAGTGTAATGTAGCATCACATCAGAGTAGCATTCAGGACAAATGTTCCTTCTGGGATGATTATCAAAAAAACATTTAACATCATGTCTCCAGAAATTAAACCTGCCTCAGGATTTAATGAGCTGACTCTGGTTTCTGTAGATTTGCCCTCCAAATAAGAGATTTACGCCTGGAGTCTGCCTGGCCTGCTGCATTCTCAACCCCACCAGTGTGTTAAACAACATGTGAAGTTACTAAAGTCATAAAATGCCTCATCAAGCTGATGCTCGTGCACCAAACGAGTGGCCTGATATCAATACGCTTCCCTTTTCTGTGTCCGCACTGATTTTGGGATTGTGTGAAACAAGTGCTCATGTCATTTTACCTCAAAATATCGACCGCTGGACTGTGTGCGTAAGCCGATCCTTCGCCCAGAAATCGTTAGGAATGTGTTTATTTTGGTGTAGATGCAACTGATCAGGCTTTTTTTGGCGGTGTTGCCCTTGGTGTAAACAGAGAGAAGAGGAGAGGAGAGAGAGAAAAGTGTCTCTGCACGTGTTCTTGTTAGTCTGTGGTAAACTAAATTTAAATGTGAGGTAAAGCTGAAGCCATGCATTATTTAGTCAGTGAAATGGGCTTTGTCTCTATCTGGTCAATTTATAGGCCTTCATTTCAGATTAGAATAGAATCGAGAGCATGTGTTTTTGTTTTGATCGTAAACTAACCGTGACTTGACTGAGGTTTCTCTAATTAACTGATAGACCTCTGTATTAATTTGTCCCTGAGGTACAAACGAGTCAATTAGGGTGCGCGACGAGGCCCAAATCACACGTGCGCGTTCACAGACACCCAGTGGATTTTTTAAAAACGTTTATAGGCCCAATCAATGACCTACAAATGGGCTTTTTGGCTTTTTGAAAAGTGAGGCTTCGACCACTTAGTGGAAAGTGCGTGCATTTGTGTGTGTGTGTGTACGTGCATGCTTAAGCGCACGCACGTGAGTGTACTCGCAATAGATTATTTTTCAGTTTTCCCATTGCTGCTGCTGCTGCTGTTGTGTGTGTGTGTGGTTGGGGGGTTGTTGTTTGAAGATTTGAGATTTTATCACTGACTTTTTTAGAATAATTTAAGAAAAATCTTATTTAAAGCTTTTGAATGTTGGTTTTGTATTTGGTCTTTAGTGCGATCAGCCTATAATTATAAAAATAATCGGGGCAGTGACCTATTGATTAGTATTGGTGATGTTTTTGATATTTTTTTTTAAGAAGAAGAAGGAGAAATTCATACTGGCCACACTGGGAAAATAAATGTCTCAGGCATACGGCAGTTGCTTTCAGAATTTTTCTCTGTTCACATTTTATTAAGCATGTTGAGTTGTGTCTCGTTTTACCAACTTTTTTTTATCAAAAACTAATAAATTGAAAGTTTCTCTTGAGCAGAAATTTAAAACATACAAATTATGTATTTTTTGGAAACACCCCCAAAAAAGTTAACAGTTAAAAACTCAATTTATCTGGAGAGAAAAGGCAGAGCGCCATTTCATTGATCCGGTCCTTAGGTGAACTATATGTGATCGTGTGCTAAAGTAGATGTGATATATTTATTGATTTTAGGCTTCTGAAATTAATCTCGGGCCTTTCCCCCTTTTCCCACGTATTCAATTACCCAGCTGAATTTGCTTGTATAGAACAGAAACAGTTTGGATGTAGGCAGGTAGCCTCTGATTTGGCACAAGGCAGAACTCAGAAATGAGAGATCAGTTTAGTCTCAGTGAATCAGTTGCAGAGATACTGCACAATGTTTTTTTCAGAATTTCAATTTCTTTTTTCAGAAGTTGTAAGTGAAAATCACTTGCTTACAGTGCATTATAATACATGTTGTCACTGGAGTAGTTAGAAGGTCGGTTTTCCAGTTGCATATCTGCAGCCTTTTCAGCACAGAGGTCTGTTTGTTGTTCTCTTTTGCTCTCTGTGAGATTATGAAACGCAGGACTATCGTCACACCGTGTCAGTGGGCCCTCTGTGTGCAGTCTGTTTGAGTGTGTGGAGTTATCTGTGTGTTTGTAATGATTAGCCGGGAGCAGCAGCAGTGTGTGTGTGTGTGTGTGTGTGTGTGTGATTAACGTGATAACAAGGACGTTGTTATGTCCCCCTGGTCCTGGGATAGCTGCCTCTCTGCCAGCGCCTCCTGTGCCGGGCCGGGCCGCTCTCTGTGGTGGCTCCTGCTGTCTGAGTGGCCTTCAGTCCTGCTGATTTATAGTAGCCCTTACTCGAGAAGCTCCGGCTCTCTGTTAATATTTACCAGCACTGGAGACACCGGGCTGCTCATACGCACTATTATAGTCCAGTTTATGGTCATGCGGATAGGTCATTGCACTGTACTGATGCACTGGTGAGCTAAAATGAGGTTACTAGGTGGGATCGGCTAAATGAGCTTGATTGAATAATTTAGTTTATTTTAATCTCTCCCTAATGAAGCTTACTGCTACTTTACTACACTTGAATTTGGAAGTCAATTACAGATATTACATCAAAAGGAAAAACGAAACAGTTTTTACAAATGCCAGTGAAGTGAAGTAGTCTAATAAGCCACTTTAAACGAACTGTTGAGCAAACACACATTCCTTATGTAAAATAGAATTGGTAGGTCATTTTGACAGTACAGTGATACGCTGAGAATGACTGTTTTGGCAATTTCCCTCCATATTTGATTGTAAATTGTGAATCTTATTGGTTTATTTAGTCGGTTTCCTTTGTACTTTAATTTGAGGTTTTCTGTAATGAAATGTTTTTAGTCACACGGTGCAATTTCATCATGCAAAATTATTCAGCAATGGTTTAAGAATTGCTTTGTGGTTGCAATATGCTGTTCATTAATTTCCCCGGTGAGTCCATATTGGGCCTTTCTCCAGCAGCCCACGTCTGCCCCCTCCTGGTCTCTGCTCACCGGTGATCCTCAATTTGGATGGTTGAACTGGAGCTTAAACGGGGGGGGGGGGGTTTGCTGGATTCCCAAGTTCGTCCGTCTAATATTAGATCATCTGTAGTTCATTGTTCCGGAGCTGCAGTATGTTGCGGGGTACGGTTGTTTTCAGCACCGCGGACAGCGCTCATTGTTCCCCGGCTGGCAGGCTTCCTGTCCGCCTGCAGCGCCAGAACTAGCGGAGCCCCTGCGCTGGTCTGTGGACCACGGGGCTCCAAGGGGTCGCTGACAATCTGCGGAAGAGTTTAATTCCGCTGCTATTTCCCATTTTGCCCAATGAAAGAGTGTTTCTGTGTTTGGAACCTGCAGACGGTTGCGCATTTCTGTCCAAAGTTACATCTGACAGTTAAAGCTCTTTTTTAGTGACCTTGCCACCACTACAATATCAAAGCACCTTAAATGTACACTGCTGAATCCAGTGTATGTACTGTAATATTCGTTTTTATCTAACCATTTTTATCTGTTCTAATTAGCCCAAGTCAAACCAGAAGAGAAGACCTGTCATTCAAATCAGCGGATGCAATCGTTGTTTGGGTTGCTGAAGTCCAGTTTGGTTGGCTTTTACTGCCGATATTCCCGGAGGATTGTGACATTACCATATTGTTTCTAAAAGACACCTTAATTGTGAAATACGCAGCTATGAAAAGCTGAGTTTGTTTTGGATCTGCATTTGTGCACCAAAACAATATATATTAGACTCAGTCTGGGTCAAAATGTATTGGAAAATATGATTAATTAACGTGTCCCAGTTAAAAGACTAATACGTGGAGTTAGCCACTGAGATAATTCATGGGTCAGACATGGATGTGTTCAGGACTGTTTTTTAATCTAAGTTTACCTTTATATTCTGCCCTGTCTCACAAACACTCTCTCTTTATGTTTGTCTCTCTCCCGGATTTACCACAGCATGCAAGCGTAAGGAACAAGACCACGGCAGAAGCGAGCGGGGGAACATGACCAAGAAGCCCCGGCTGGTGTTCACAGATGTGCAGCGGCGGACGCTCCACGCCATCTTCAAGGAGAACAAGCGTCCATCCAAAGAGCTGCAGGTCACCATCGCCCAGCAACTGGGTCTTGAGCTGGCCACAGTCAGCAACTTCTTTATGAACGCACGCCGCCGGAGCCTAGATAAGTGGGTGGACGACGGCTCCGGTCACTCAGGCCCCAACGCCTGCACCAAAGCCTGAAGATGGACTGATTTGACCAACTCATGGACTGACTCAACCTCGGTGGAAAAGCTTTAAAATTTAAGTGAAACAAAGAGAAACCTAAAAAGACCTTGAAGCAACGTTTTGCCCTTAAACCTGTACTATATTGATATTTATAGTATCCAAAGATGAAAAAACAAACCAAAGACTTCTTGTTTGACCTGCTTT